TTCAGTGACAGGATATTTGACAGATATCTGAAACTCTACAGTCTGAGTATCCTGATGCATGCTCAATAATCCAGGTAGAAAAATCTAAAAAAGTTAAATCTGGTCCTCTACATTTTTTTGTTGATTTGCTTTGTTTTGTTTTTTTGAATGTCCAGAGGACCAGATTTAACTTTTTTAGATCTACAGTCTGAGATGTGTTCAATGACAGGATATTTGTCAGATATCTGAGTGTTGACCAGCGACTCATGGCCAGTCAGGCTGAATTTGGGCTGGTACCGGTCTCAAGCTGCTTCCTCGCTGTATCTATGAATGAGCTTGTTGATGAGTTCTGTTTCACTTCAGTTTCGGTCTCTTTCTGTTTTTTTAGATGAAATGATTAAATGTTTATAAACCGTCTCAGACTTTTGTTTTTGCGTCAAACCTAACAGCAACAAGCAGAACAAATGCTACATAAATGCTCTTTCTGTCTGGTTTGTTTCATGGAGAACAGAACACGTGAATGGCTGAAGCTGTGAACAAATGAATTCCTCCAGAGCTGGTTACGAGTTCAGCCTCTGTTGCCATGGTGACATATCATGACCCTGAAAGTGACCCTGAGCCAGGTTTTGGTCCATATCAAGGACTCAGTTGACATGTCTGTGGACCCCTGCAGTATGCCTACATAAAGATCCGGTCTGTGGTCCGGTCAATCACTCCACCCTCATTCACCTGGAATGCCGGGACTTATATGTCAGACTGCGTTTTCTGGATTTTAGCTCTGCTTTTTTTGTCCTTCAGACACTGGCTAATAAGCTGCTGGGGTTGAAACCATAGATGTGCAACTGGGTCCTGGACTTCTTGACTTAGTATGTGACCATCTAGTGTGTCGTCCATCACACTTAACGCTGGCTCCCCACAAGGTGTGTCCTGAGCCCCCCTCCTGTACGCACTCCTCACATGATTGCTCTGCAAGGTACCCCTGAGAAGTTCCTGATGACACAGTTGTTGACCAGATGATGAGTCTGTGTACAGGAGGGAGGTCAGAGACCTTGTTGATTGGTACCAAGCCGATAACCTGTGCACCAATGTGGCGAAAACAAGAAATGGTGGTGGACTTCAAGAGGAGGGCACACACTCCTCCCACCAGCATGGGGTGGAGTTTGTGACCACAATTAAATTCTTGGGTGTGTAACTGTCCAGTGACCTCGCATGGGTCGTGAACCCAACACCTGTACTTTATGAGGCTGAAGCAGGCTGGCCTTATGGCCACCGTATCAGTTCTCATTGGTTCCGCTCCACACTGCCTCTAAGCTCTATTTGCACGGGAGTAGTTTTACCTAGGGACCACATGCTATTTGTGATAATTACAAAGATTGTCTGTGTTGTTAATCACGTGAGAATCGGCCATGTCAGTCATTTGTAAAGTGAATGACCTACTATACTTTGCTGAACTCCGAGGTCCTGTGATAATACTAATCCACTGCGAATAGGCTTCTCTGTGATTTGGACAGAAATGTGCAGGACACAATACATAATGAGACGCTTTTTATTTTTGTTTAAGCAAAATCATTTGAAAAAATATAGAACAAGGCTAATTTAAATTAACGCGCTGCTCGATTTGGCTTTTTTTTAATAATTATTTTATTTTTTATGCATTTTTCTTTTTCGCTTTGGCTTTTACTTCCTTCTACTTCCTTCACCGCAGATGACGGGAGGTGCGGAGACGCGCGCATGATCAACTGACATCCGTCCATTATATTTACCTGCTTCTTCCCTTTTGGGTAGTGGGAGTCAGTGGTGCCCATGTCCAGCCATTAATGTGCAAGAGGTGGGGGACACCCTGGACAGGTCTCCACTCCAATTCATTTCAACTGGCGGGTCAGCGGACGCGAGGACGCTCACGCGCGCAGCCAGTATCAGCTATCCATCTGAGCTTAACGTGGCTTTTTTTTACCTCTTAAACCGGCCGGTCGGACCTGCCTCCTCCTCAACATGTAGATTAACACAATCTTATATTGTGCATTCTTTAGTTTTCTTTGTGCTGATTCGTAAAACCACATCAAAGCCTGAGACTGTCCGGGACCGCACATTAAACACATTATATGGACCGGCCAGGTCGTGACAACGCAGCGCGTTAACATCATAACCGGAAGATGTCTGTAAATTCCAGCTAAATCTCAGACTTTAGCGATCAAGTGCGAATGCGCCTCATAAAAAGCAGACGTTGGGGAGATTACACTGGTCCTTGGGTAAAACGAATCCTGTGCGAATAAGGCTTAAGGGCCTCTCCACTGCCTGTACCCACCACTCAGCCCGGTTTATGGGAACACCTTGTTTGCGGTTCCAAGCGGACTGCACCAAGGTGACAATTTTGATGTAAGCAGACAGCAGCTGTTGACTGGCCAGCAGAGCTACATCACTGGATGAACCGCCTCGCAGAACTACATCTGAACCTCCACTTCGTTATCATGTTGACGGACGGCACCACAAGGAATGAGCTCATTTACAGAGAGGTATCAGAGATAATGTAGCATGTAGCATACACCCGGACTGATGAGCAGTGCCGGGATAAGCTAACGAAATTGAAATCCGACTATAAGGACCACAACGTGCTGAGTGACTCAAATACCTGTTATGTTTCCATCCACTGTGTTGATGGTCCCGCTCACAGAACAGGAAAACAAGTCACAGCGGTAAATCGCCTCCGCCTGAGAAGAACCGATGAGATGAGAGACGAGTGGAGTTGCTAAAGCGTCTTTAGTGCCGTCTGTTTTTATCATGGTGGAGGAGAGTCCTGACAGCTGCTCTGGGTCTGACAAGAAGGCTTCAAATGTCATTAAATCTGCTCAGAAGAGAGGACATCTCCACCATGCAGATGCAGGACCAGAGCAGGGAACATTGGGGATTTCCCCCCACCACCACCACCCCCACCCGAGGCAGGAGGGTTCAGGAGCAGCTTCCACCCTGAGGCTGTGAGGCTCATGAAGGATTGGAGCGGACCTCTGCACTTCTTCTTGTCTTGTTTAACTCTGGTATCTGGGGAACAAATTGGTTCTCAGGTTTTGAACATGTTGAATGACTTCAGCTTTCAGCCACATCTGCAGTTGTAGATGAGGTTCTGACCCAGAACCTACACAGCTGCTGCTCCGTAGCTCTGCAGATGTTTGATAAAAGCTTTGACGCAGTTTATAACCAGGATGGATGTGTCCTGTCACTGGCAGCTCGGACCTGAAGGATGTAAACCAGAACCAACAGGCCGTTTACACGGCTAGTACCAACACAATCTTGTTTTAAGAAGCTGAAGTGTTCCTCCTGCAGTCCACTTTGTGTTTCCCATGGTGTTCAGGACGATAAATCAGATTTTTGTTACAATGTCAACGTTTGTTTGGATCGACCTTTAAACTGTCAGCATTCACCGGTTCCTCTTTGGTCCACTCCTTCACACAGCCTGGCTCTGATGATCCACTTACTGTCTGTGTGTCCAGGACCAGCCGCCTGAGGGCCAGAGGCCTTTGTGCTCCAGCAAAGAGACCCGAGGACACCTCAGGGTCTGAGGTCCATGAGAAGATCATGAGGTTTCCTCTTTACTGGGCCGGACACAGGTGAGTCAACACACACGCACGCACACACACGCACGCACACACTCACGCACACACACACACACACACACACCAGCAGCAGCAGATCTGTCCACAGTCTGAGCTCAGTTAAAGGATTTTGGTTTGTTTCTAATTCAAACCCACTGAAACAGAAACAGCTGATCGTTCTGAGACTTTAGCTTCTCAAACTGACAGATGATGAGCTAAAATACAGTGTGGTAGTAGCTGAGAGTGATCCTCTTCACGTTCTGATGAGGGCATCTTCTAAGATCCTGCAGCCTCACCAGATCACAACCAGGACCTGATTTTAAGGGTTGATCCCAACAGCAACACCGTGAAGAAGATTTCCTCTCTGGCCTGAAAGCTGGTGGTCCTGGAGCTGGTCCGCTTCCTCCCTGTGTTGTTGTTTTATTCACTTCCTGTCTGTACTTGCTACAAACTTCATACCCAGAGAACGGACCAACCAGAACTTTGTCTTCTCCTTTGTTCCAGCTGGGAGTTGTCTCTGCAACCGTTATAAAGGCATCGCTCAACATTTGTTCTACATTTATAAAAAAATAATACATTTGACGTCAACTCCTGCAGTCATCAGCACATTTAGACTAGTGTTCGTTATAAACCTTCAAAGTGTTAATGACAAGAATTTGATTGTTAATACTCAACAATACTTGAACCCTCAGGGAGGTCAGTGTCAGAAGAGAAGGTGCACAGAGTTGTTTGTTTCGAGGCAACACATTCAGCTCATCTGGTTCAACAGAGCTGTAAGTGCGACTGGTCTGACAGCGTCAGGCTCTCCCCCTCTAATCTGAACAGATTAATAATCTGTTTTTCTTTGAGTTGAGCAGCTGTACAACTAGGGCTGCTCTGAACAGGTTTTTTGCTGCCGATCACAATACTGATCACATGTGTTGGTTGTAATTTTTTGATTTAGTTAAGATGAGTGCTATTTGCTACGTGATCTGGAAAACAGGAACCATAAAATCACCCTAATTTGGACAAAAGCATGTTTTATTAACTTTTTCAAGATAAAAACTTTTTTTTTTTTTAAATCTTGCAGGCACAATACAGCAACTATTCAGTTAAAAGGACAACTGAAAAATGTACAGCGTCATTGACAGAATCTTTAACAGATTGAAAACATGAAGATGCTCAACAGGCTAAATGATGCAGAAAGTCTAATAAATCTCAAAACATTGCTAAATATATATATATATATATATATATATATATATATATTGCACCACCGGGCCTCTGCAGGCTGCAAAGGTGATCAGTTTTTGTGATCGGTACTGAAAGTCATTGATCGGTAACAGCCGATCACATACTTTTGAATGGAAATCGGCCGATCATGATCAGTGGTCCATCGATCGAAACATCTCCATTTACAGCATGAGCTGCTGGAGCTGTCTGAGCAGACAGGTGGAGCAGCTGCAGGCTGTTCCTGGGTTTCAGGAGGAATGTAGTCATGCAGGTGCAGAAATCCTCAACAGAACTTTCAAACTTCTTCTAAGTTTAAGGTGTTAAAGTTTGTTTCAGGCATCGATCTGCAGCCTGTCCATGAAGTGTTGTCCTCGTCTCTGTCACACTCAGACGCCTCGTCAGTCTCATCAGAAGTAGTTTTCATTACTTCCTGATAAACATTTGTGTTGCTGAGTCATGGTGACAGCATGGCTGTGGTGTCAGAAAACATTTCTCCAGTTAATGAGAGGCTCCCTGCTCACCGTGTACAGAAGGTGTTTAAACAGATAAGGAGTTTCTGTCCCATAGGAGACATCTTTGTGTCTCTGACCTAAGCTCAGCTGATGACCTCTGTTAGATCAAGTTTACTTCAGTGTCTGTTTTTTCTTCACACATTAAAAACACTTTATCCTCCTCTTTGAGGTTCTGGCACACTATAACAGTGTAGACATCTGATGTATGTACATTTAGGTCGTTTTCACACCAGATAGTCCGGTAGACTCGGTTTGGTTCTGGACCAATATTCATGACCTTTTGTTTACATGTGAGCTGGTGAGTTTGCATTCACACTGCACTGTGCAGTCGAGTCAACCTGTTGAACCAACCTATTCCCCCGCTCGCCTGTGGGGGCACTGCACCAAGAACTACTGAAAGAAACAACACAAAAACCTCTGAAGACACGTCTTCTTCTTCTGTAAATAAAAACAAAGTGGCGTCAAGTTTTAGCAGTTTTAGGAGTTATATTTTGTAATTTTTCAAAAATGGACTTAGCATGAGCAGAAGATGAGACAGAAGAACATGGAGAATATTGTTTTTTCCACACAAGGCAGCTGACGGCTCCATATAAGGTCAGAGAAATGCATGTTTGTTTACCCTGCGGAGCGGGGCCCGGTCTGTTTACATTCACACTGCACTCGAACCACGCTGGAGTTCTCTTCTACCGGACCGAGACCTAGGTTTTAGCCCGGGCCAGAGTTTGCCTTTTTGTTCCATGACAGAGTTCGATAGCGCGTTCACACCTCCCTAAATGAACCGGACTTTCTAGGAAAACGAGCTAGAGTTCGATTAAAGCGGACTAAACAGGGCTGGTGTGAATGCACCCTAAGTCCAACATACTCAAACATGAATCCTTTAAGCCATCGTGGACACATTTTTTAGAAGTAAGAATGTTACATGTTAAACATATAAAGATACTTGTATGCTTAACAGCTATACTGGTTCCTAACTTGTGTCAACTTATGAGTAACTAGTCTAACCCTAACTTACACATACCAAACATGTAACTGCAACAGGTCAGCACTCACTGATGACTGGCTGGATTCAGTACCATAGTCCATGTGGTGACTGATTGAACACTGGACCATGGGACATCTGGTAACCGATTGAACACTGGACCATGGGACATCTGGTAACCAATTGAACACTGGACCATGGGACATCTGGTAACCGATTGAACACTGGACCATGGGACATTTGGTGAATGATTGAACACTGGACCATTGGACATTTGGTGAATGATTGAACACTGGACCATTGGACATTTGGTGAATGATTGAACACTGGACCATTGGACATTTGGTGACTTTTTGAACACCCAACACTTCACTGCTGCCTCTCACAGCAGCATGCTCGTTCTTAGTTTCATACGCTCATGCTGTGGACCTCACTGTGGGGCAGCCACTTTTTGGAGAAACTCATATGTTTGCAGACAGATTCTCTCAGGTGTAGTGTTTTATGTGTCATGGTTTGAAATTAACAAATCCAGTGGTTTTGGTCTGGTTCCTTCTGTGTGTTTCTGCAGGCGTGGCTTGACCGCATGTCTAGTTTTGAGTATGCTGGGCCTGGTGACGTTCTTGCTGTCACTCATCTGGACAGAAAGGAGAGAAGCTGTGGAGCTGCACGTCACCCCTGCACATAAACAGGTGAGGAGGCAGAGCCACCTGTCAGGTGCTCTATGTGCTGATCAGGTGGATCACTCCTCACACATGCACTACATGAACTTTTTGACTTGTATGTTTCTTCAAGCAGTCAGTGAGCTGACACTCTGACCTCTACTCAGGGCTCCTCCACCACATACTAACATTCTCACTGCTATTTGTTGGCTCTGTTTCACCTGCAGCTCGTGCATGAACATGTGCACAGAGTTCTGGAGGGTCGGTGTCGTCCAGGTGGTACAAGGCAGAACCTGCTGGCTGAACTCCCGGCCTCAAGCCGAACACTGCAACCCTTCCTGTGGAGAGATGAGCCGCCCTCTGATGACCTCTTCATTTACCCGCCGCCGTTTGGCTTCAGAGGGGTCCGAGGCCGAGTGCAGGACCTGCTGCAGCTGGTGAGCAGAAGCAGAACTTTGAGGTTTATGATCTGTTTACTCAGCTGTCTGTCCCTCTGCTGTACTGCAGTTTGTCTTGTTCTTATCTTATCCATGAGCTCCGCCGGTGTCTCAAGCTGAGCTCATGTCCAGAGTTTAAGAATGCATGTTCAAACAAAACACCTTCAGTGCAAAATAATCACAATGATAGACACACTTTCCAGCAACTTCCAACTACTTCTTGATCATACTCCTCCCTCACACTGGCAACTGTTCCCACCTACCTGAAGATCGCCACCATCATCCCAGTTCCTGAGTTCTACAGTGACTGGTCTGAATGACTACAGGCCAGTAGCCCTCACCCTGATAATCTCTGCAGAGTGATGAAGGCTGCACAGAAGACTGTTGGAGTCAGTCTCCGCACCATCTCAGACATCTACACCTCCAGATGCAGGAAGAGGGCTGCCTGCATCATGAAGGACTCCACTCACCCAGCACACACACTTTTTGCCCCGCTCCCCTCAGGAAGGAGGTTAAGGAGCATTAAGTGTAGAACCATTAGACTGAGGAACAGCTTCTACCCTGAAGCTGTTAGACTCATGAATATCTAACCAGAATAATCACTGTAATGCCACTTTGATTGGTGATATGTGCTGCTGATTATCCATGCTGCTGATCTCATGCTGCTGATTTGTATTCAATCATACTCATCTGCTCACCACAGACTCATGTTTTGGCTGCTGTGGTTCAGTGTATTGTTTTACATTATTAGTATTTATCATCTACAGTATCTTGAATTTTAGCGTACTGTTTTGTGTTCGAATAGCGTATATCTTAGATCCTTATATACGGTTTCTTTTTATACTTTATATTTTTGCTATTGTTGGATGTAACTGGGACCCTGAGTACATCATTTCGTTCCACCTCATGTACCACATGTGGTGATATTACAGTAAACCTAATTGAACTTGGATAAAAACATCTTTCAGTTTTCGTCTCAGTTCTCATTCAGCTCTAAAACTGGAATAAATATAAACATCTCTCTGCACAGGAACTGTTTGAGTCCCTGCAGGGAGCTCTTCATCCAGGGACAGGTGTTTTATCTTCTAGAACTCTTCTACAGTTTAGACCTCAGATTAGGTTATTACACAAGTCATCCCAGTTTACCCCTGGACTCTGATGTTGGCTGGAGCTTTAGGGGCGGCTCAGTGGTGCAGTGGTTAGAGCTCTCACCTCACAGGAAGAAGGTCAAAGTCAAAGTTTATTTACAGTGCCTTGCGAAAGTATTTGGCCCCCTTGAACTTTTCAACCTTTTGCCACATTTCAGGCTTCAAACATAAAGTTGTAAAATTTTAATTTTTTATGATGAATCAACAACAAGTGGGACACAATCGTGAAGTGGAATGAAATTTATTGGATGTGTCAAACTTTTTTAACAAATAAAAAACTGAAAAGTGGGGCGTGCAATATTATTCGGCCCCCTAGTGTTAATACTTTGTAGCGTTGTCTTTTGCTGCAGTTCCAGCTGCAAGTCTCTTGGGTTATGTCTCTTATCAGTTTTACACATGAGGGACTGAAATTCTTGCACATTCTTCCTGCAAAACAGCTCGAGCTCAGTGAGGTTGGATGGAGAGCGTTTGTGAACAGCAGTCTTCAGCTCTTTCCACAGATTCTCGATTGGATTTAGGTCTGGACTTTGACTTGGCCATTCCAACACCTGGATACGTTTATTTGTGAACCATTCCATTGTAGATTTGGCTTTATGTTTTGGATCATTGTCTTGTTGGAAGATAAATCTCCGTCCCTGACAGGCTCTGTCCCTGTCTGTTTTCTTTATATTTATTTGTGTTCCCCACTCTGCTTTTTGTACTTTTGTTGTTCTGCTCTTTGTGTGATTTCTGTTCCTATATATCTGATTCTGTTGTTTTCCACTCACTCCTCAGTCTTTATCATTCACACCTGTCCCTCATCAGCCACCTGCCCGGGTGCTCTCATTACTCACTCTCCCTCTGTCTTATAAAAAGCCTTTCTCTCCTCCACTCCTCGTCCGGTCATTGCAAAATTGCTGCACAGACAACATGGTCCTCCTCTGTTCCTTGTGCCAGGTATCTGTCTGAGTTTGAATCTGTCCTGTTGTCTGCCTGGATCCTGCCTGTAGTTTTGCTGCCCCGTCAGCCGTTTTGTTTTTGTTGTTTAAATAAATTGTTTTTATTTAAACTCCTGCCTCGCTCGCCTGCCTGCAAATGGGTCTAAACACTGAGGATTGTGATAGAATGACCGGACCAGACCCAGCAGGTTCTTCGCTCCGCTCCAAGCGCCAGCACGAACGTGAGCAACTCCACCGGGTAACGCGTAATTATCTGGACACCAGGGCCACCCCCAAGGATCTGTGGAAGAGGTTGGTGGCCGCTGAGGACTTTGTTAACGTGTTTACCCGGTTGGAACTAGAAGGTTATAAACCGGGGGTGTTTGAGCTTTTTTCTCAAGCTTGGAATGAGAGACGTGTGCTGCGCTCTCTTCTGCCATCTGCCACGCCCCCTGGTCATCCCAAGCACCCCTCATTGGCGAATGGACTGGTTTCACTGCCCGCTCCGGCTCTCCTGGTCTCGTCGCCTGCTCCGGCTCTCCTGGTCTCGCCGCCCGCTCCGGCTCTGCCGGACTCGCCGCCTGCAGACCCCTCGCCGGACTCGCCACCTGCAGACCCCTCGCCGGACTCGCCGCCTGCAGAACCCGGCTCTGACCCCGCAGCTGCAAAACCCGGCTCTGACCCCATTTTTCCAGCTGCAGCCCAGCCTCCACCACCTGCTGCTGCAGCCCCACCCCTTCCTGTGTCTCTGTGGGGACTGGTTCTGACACCCCATCTATTGGTATCTCTACAATGGTGGGTCCCAAGCCTCCGCTGGGTCCCAAGCCTCCGCTGGGTCCCAAGCCTCCGCTGGGTCCCAAGCCTCCGCTGGGTCCCAAGCCTCCGCTGGGTCCCAAGCCTCCGCTGGGCCCCAAGCCTCCGGTGGGTCCCAAGCCTCCAGTGGGCCCCAAGCCTCCAGTGGGCCCGGCTCCATCACCTGCAGCTGCAGAACCCGGCTCTGACCCCGCAGCTGCAGAACCCGGCTCTGACCCCGCGTCTGCAGAACCCGACTCTTCGTCTGCAGAACCCGACTCTTCGGCTGCAGAACTCGACTTCGCCTGCAGAACTCGACCTCGACTCTTCGCCTGCAGAACTCGCCTTCGACTCTTTGGCTGCAGAACTCGCCTTCGACTCTTCGGCTGCAGAACCCGTCTCTGACCCATCGGCTGCTGAACCCTCGTCCGACCCATCGGCTGCTGAACCCTCGTCCGACCCATCGGCTGCTGAACCCTCGTCCGACCTCCCGGCTGCTGAACCCAGGTCTGGTCCAGCAGTTTCTGAACCCCGTCCTGACCCAACAGCTGCCAACGTCCCGCCTTCCCCAGCAGCAGCCAGCACCACCATCTCTGGTCCCATTCCATCCTTCCCCAAACTCTGGTCCCGCTCTGGACGGTCCCCGGGCCGTCCGCCCGAACTCTGGTCCCGCTCTGGACGGTCCCCGGGCCGTCCGCCCGAACTCTGGTCCCGCTCTGGACGGTCCTCGGGC